TTGGCCTGGGAGCCTACGTGCGGTGAGAGCGATGACCAGGTTATGCTCCGGAAACGCTATGGGAGTCGGACCTTTCATTTTTTTTCTTTTTTTTTTGCGGTAAATTCCAAGCTTCGACGTGGGTCAGGCGAGCGTTGTTGAGCGTTGCTATTTGTTTCGAGATTCTGAGAGCCAGCGATTTCAGTTCTCTTGTGCAGTGGCTGTTAGCATTCGCTGTACTACTTTCTGCATCTCTGTTGCGAAATGCGTTATTTCATTATATGAAATAATGCATAAGGCCACAAGCCTTGTTTTTTCTCTCGAATTCCTAGGTGATTTTTTATAATTTAAAAAATTATTTCGATTGTTTTTTTCCACTGTTTGACAGCATGACTCATTTGCAAGGCATGAAATATCGAGAAGGTTCTGCAAGACCGTGTAAATGCATATAGAATGAAAGAAGAAAGTCAAATAGAGGTTGTACATTACTCTACCGCGCAGTTTCTTTTACTTAAAATATACTACCATCTAAAAAAATTACCTCTAGCCTTGTCAGAGAATTTCAACTATTTGTGTATGACATTCCTTCATAGCTACGGCTTGAGGAGAGAAATGGGGAGGAGGGAGGTTTACAGAATACAGAAAAGACATACCTCTGAGTCTCTCTCTCTCTCTCTCTCTCTCTCTCTCTCTCTCTCTCTCTCTCTCTCTCTCTCTCTCTCTCTCTCTCTCTGAGTCAAAAGAGAGGGGTGTGTGCTATTAATTTAAGGATCGAACAACGTACCCGCGACATGGACCCAGCTTCCTAGCTGAAAGATTAGAGGAAATTTCTTCCGATTTGGCTGCTACTCGAAACAACCCCAGGTCCCCCCCCCCCCCCCCCCCCGCCCATCCCAAACTATTTTCTGCGTCACGCTCGAACGAAAAATATCTGGATTGCACCGGTTTAGTTTCGAAATTGACTAACCCGGAGTCAAGAATTCAGTGCGCACCTTGCGTAATGAGGGATCCGAGTCGGCAGCGGTGACGACCTTCGCTTCAGGTTAGCGAAGAAACCCAATCGAGCGGCCCCACCCCCTCCTCCCCCCGGCCTCAGAGGTCTCCCTTCTCCCCCCCCCCCCCATTACCCTCCCGACTCTGTGGGTGCTTCCCTCTCCCATGTTAGCGTCTCCCTCTTGTCCCCTTGGCTTCTTGGCGGGGTCCCTACCCTCCTGTCACTGGCATTCTCCCTCCCTCCCTCATCCTTAGCCTACCCCGCGTCGTGTCGTGTCCTCCTCCCCATTTGGTTCTTCCCTTGTTCTCCCTTCCGCTCCCTTAGTGCCCTCTCTCCCTATAGCGTTCTCCCTGACCCTCCCTTGGAATTCTCCTACCCCCCCCCCCCTTGCCGTTCTCCCTCCCTGTCCTAGAACGCCTCCTCTTCCCCTGTTCTTCCTAAAATATCCCCCCCTTCTCCCTGCCTCGCCCCCCCACCCCAAACTCTGCGTTGGTCTAGGGCAAAGGGAGTCGCCAGCCGCTCGTGTGTGGCGGCCGTTGTGGAGGGTTCAGCTTACGTGTGGTAATCAATTCGGTATTGGAAACGGATGCACAACTTCTAGGAATTTCCCTGTGCCTGTTGTGTTATAAGTAAGGGAAACGAAGGGATTACATATCAGGACCCGTTTTCTTTCTATTCCCAATATAAGTAAACATCCCAAAGAAAAAAAAAGGCGGTTCACAGTCGAGGGCTTGGCAAATAGTGGCAGGCTGTGTTTTCTACCGGTATGACTTAAGATCAAAATAAGGTTCATCTGTACGTCTGTTGAGGTTGTTGCGCGAAAGGTGAATATAGAGAGGCTCTAGATATTGATATAGACGAGAGTGTATATACGCGATGCAATTCGTACAGAGTGATTTTAAACCTTTAGGCAGTTGCAACCCTTTTCTCACGCCTCAGACGCGTCCGCGACTCCACCCACATCAGCCATGTCCTTTATGATTCTTCTAATTATATATCTTGGCCAAGAGGCAGAAAATGTTTAGCAGTCTGTACGCGTTTTATTTACTTAATTACAATATTCCCTAAAGACGTGGCTTCATTGTGCATCCTTGATAAAAATACTGGCGAGTACTTAGCAAACTGACCCACAGTGTTTTTCCACAAGGCTTCGCGACACCCCTGCTTATCCCATAGGACGCGACTCATCGGTCAGGCACCTTTGTGCTATTCAGTACCTAAATGCAGACGCGCTGGCAGTTATGACTGATTAAACAGTGGTAAAAAATCACTGTTATAAGGTTATGGGTTCAATGATTATTTTTCATTTTAGAACGGTTTTGTTGCATAGCCTGTATTATCTGATTTGAACATTTGGAATTTAACCTATTCACACACGCACTCTCTCTCTCTCTCTCTCTCTCTCTCTCTCTCTCTCTCTCTCTCTCTCTCTCTCTCTCTCTCACACACACACACACACACACACACACACACACACACACACACACACACACACACACACACACAAACACACACACACACATATCTATCTGTGTAGGAACTGTGTGGTGGTCGCTAAAGAACTGGACTTACCGTCAGTCAATAGCAATATACAGGCCTATAAATCAGTACCTCGTTCGGCATTAGGCTCTGACAACGTCTGACTTGACCACACGTTTCCCATGCGCTGCCAACACTGAGTCAGTTACAGAACTTGGCTTGCAAGGCCCAACACTCCTGAATGTTTCATGGGTTCTCTAAACATCAGCAGAATGTTTTTGCATCTCAACGTAAAACTGATGATTATGTTCTTAATATTTAAAAAGATTCCCTGGAAGGAAGGAGAGTTGCGTGACGAAGTGTAGCTTCAGCCTGGTCCGCTCGTCTTGGAACAGAAACATTTGGCAATGTGTTTACTTTTCAATCACGTCCTAACGGAAAATATTATTACGTACCTACATCTTGCGGCTAAAGTGTTCCCAACTTCCTTTCATCCGTTTACAAGCTCCGAGGAAGTGACGTGTGTGAAGTCTCGCTCGCACGTGTGTGACCTGCCGAAATAGTGCCCAGGCGAGGCGGGACAGCGCAGGCCGACGTCTCCAGTGGCGCCACGCTTTTTGCGTCACATGCCTTGCCAACTTCCGGCATCATAGCTCGGGGTCAGGTTCAGCCTTCTTGTAAAGAGGCCTTTCAAATGCCATTCGTGAAAGTTTTATTCCGCGTCAAAGGGCATTTTCCGCACTTTAAGCCATAAATAAGAATGTATCTCAGTAAACATGTTGGACCTAACAGCTATCAGCAGAGCGAACATGTTCATACTGTAGCAACCGCAACTTCATTTCACCAAGACAGTTACCAATACGTAATGATGGTCATGAAGTCGTTTCATCCTCAGCATATGGTCCGGCAAAAGAGCGTTCGCGTAGGGCGCCCCGAAGGCGAGTCGCCCTGAAACGTTAGTCATTATCGGCGACCGACGCTGTGGACCGGCGGGCGGGCAGCCCTGGGCTCGCGCCAAGTGCCCAGCGGCGGAGCTCCTCGGCCCTCGAAATCTAAGCGATGCACTTGCATCATCTGTGCACTGAACTCCAGCCGCGATTTTCCTTTTGAACCAAATGTAACACACACACACACACACACACACACACACACACACACACACACACACACACACACACACACACACACACACACACACACACACACACACACACACACATACACACACACACACACACAACACACACACACACACACACACACACACACACACACACACACATATATATTTGTCTATCTATATACATGTCTATATTTGTGTGTGTATAATATACTGAGAGAGAGAGAGAGAGAAAGAGAAAGAAAGAAAGACAGAGAGAGAGAAAGAGAGAAGGCTTCGTGGACTTCTGGTTTTACTATGTATACATGTCCGGGCTCTCAAATCTGCGAGTTATTTTAAATCGTCCATGACTACCCTACTATCATCTGCGTTTAATAGCCGCGGTTAGTCATCTGGCGTCGCAATAGCTGCTTAGTGACACTAGGTTGTTTCTTGTTTACTTTTGCATAGAGAAAACAGGAAGATTATGACCAGAATCCATTTTCTGTTGGTTCTGTTGTGTGAAAACAATGTTTGCTAAAATCGAAAGTAAAATGTAATAATCATGGAAGATTTTTTTTTTCGTAAACTTTCCTATTTTTGAAACGGGCAAAGAATGCGGGAACGAAGATAACGATACCAATTTAGATGAAATATTGTAATCACTGGTGACATTTTCCTGTTCCTTTTAAATCCGAATCTTTAGTCATTTTGGGATTGGGGCCGACGATGAGTGCACAATAAGATTTTAGAAATAGACGTCGAAGCGTTTCGAGAGCCAGTTAGAGTTGGTGGGATGTATGACCCTGTGGTTAGTTGTGACAAGATAAGAATTTCCTTTCGCATAATTGGCAGTCTGCCATGGTTAGTTAACTTGGCTATTACACTGTTCCTATGAGGCTTCTGCTTCGTCTCTGCTTGTAAGATTTGGCTCCATCTGTCTTTAAAGTGTGTGATATTTTTAAATGTTCGCTTTGACCCTGAAAGGAGCAAAGGCGTCTCTGATGCTGAATGCAGAACTGGTGTCCTTGATGTTTCTGGCACGGCAATGTCGGACCAACTGGAAATGCGTATCTTTTCGTTCGTCCTTTTTGTGTCCATTTGATACTCTAGATAATCACGGAACGTCTAGCCTCAATAAAATAGATATTAGACTAATCACAGTGGACAATTCTTTTCTCTTAATGTTAGGATTTAAACCGTTCGTAAATACCTACAAGGCATTACCCTTTTGGAAAGAAAGTAATGCATTAATAAAACGGAAAAAAGGCATGAGAAATTTGGGCCATAACTGTGGAATCTCTTGTTGCAGAATTAGTGATATTTTTCTTTTTAGAAATTTCGTATTAGGTGGAGAGCAAATTCTTCCGTTGATATTTTTACTGTAGGCTGAGTGGACACAAGAGAATGGCTCAGAGTCTTAGACACAATCTCATGATTCGTTACCAG